GTCCGAGAAGCCTGGCTCCCACGTCAGCCCCACAGGCCCACCGGCCACAATGCTTTGGGCTAGTTTGTTATCTTGACAGGAGAAACCTGGGCCTGGCCAGCCAGTGACCAGTAGGGCCCACTCAGGGCCATGAGTGGGCTGAGGGCACAGCCCACTGGGCAACAAAGATGGTCTGGGGCCCAAGGGCAGCTCCACGAGGGGTGGCTGCTGGGTCCAGGGTCTGGAAGCCAGGTGGTGCCCTGGACTTGGTGTTCCCAGCCGCCTGCGCAGAAGCAGCTGCCACTAGGCAGCAGTGGGACAGATATGGCCAGCATCCCACTGCAGCTGACGCTTGGTGAGTGGCATGCAGGAAACTAGAGACTCTTTCAGGCAGGTCCCAGGCCTACTCTGGCGATCAGAGTTGGGGGCCCTGTGAGATGGGAAAACACACAGACAGGGACAACGGGGATGAGTTCAGTACAACCCACACTGGACAGGGGTCAGAGCAGGTACCCAAAACTACTTTCCTGAAGGACTGGCATCACAAACGCTTTAATGCAGCATCTCAGGAGAGGAAGAAATTGCAGGGAAGAAGGTGGTAGTTTTTTATGTTTTGTTTTCTTTTTAATTGGAAGACTCAAGCATTTTGGTGTTGAGCCATGTAGGAACTGACCAGCTGGGGCTGGGGAGAGACCCACGGCCAGAAGAGGGGAGGAGAGGGATGTGGAACACGGCTGAGTCAAGCTGCGTTCTGCAAAACTGCAAGCTCTCTCTGTGGGTTACTCCTGAGGCTGGCTTCAGCTGCATTCTCCCTCTGGGACATATCTCCTTTTCTCTTCTTCCTCCATAAAGTGCCTGCCCATAGGGGTGTGTGAAGTGTCAAGAGTAAACTTCCAGAGAAGGTGGGTGCATACTGGGAATGCAGTGGGCAGAGAAAGGTCACGATGCATCCACAGGAAGACAGCCAGCCCTGTGGAGATGAGCTGCCCACAGCCACCAACAGGACCCTCTTCTCTCCACAAGGTCCCCAAGTTATGGCTGCTGCTGCACCAAAGGCAGTCCCTGCTGCCCCTCTTTATACCTGGGGTAGGCCAGTAGCATCCTGGAAAGCACTAGAATGGGCCTCTCTCCTCTCGGGCATCTGGTCTACCCTCCCCGCAGCCCTTCTGGGACCCCAGGCTTTCTTGCCTTTCCTATCTGTTCTCCTGGTTACGGGACGATTTGGTACACATTCGTGTATTAGGTTCAGATTTTTAAAAAAATTGAGTGGTGAAATTCACATGACACACAATGTACCATTTTAAAATACACAATTCAGGTGCATTTAGTACATTCACAATGTTATGCAGTTACCACCTTTGTCTAGTTCCAGAACATCCTCATCACCCCTAAAGGAAGCCATCCCCACTAGGCAGGCACTCCCTTCCTCCAGCCCCTGACAGCCAACAGTCTGCCTTCAGTCCCTATGGATTTGCCTGTTCTGGACATTTCGTATCAATGGACTCAGACAAACTGTGGCCTTTGTATCTGGCTTACTTCACTGAGCATGTTGTCAAGGTTCATCCCTGTAGTAGCATGTCAGTGCTTCATTTCTTTTGAATGACTGAATAATATTTCATTGTGATTGGATAGACCCCAATCTGCTTACCCATTCCTTAGTTGATGGACATTTGGGTTGTTTCTACCTTCTGTATTTCATGAATAATGCTGCCATGAGCATTTGTGTACATGTTTGTGAATAAATGTATATTTTCATTTATCTTGGGTATATATACCTAGGACTGGAATTGCAGGACCATAGGGTGATGTCTTCTTTATGTGAGAGTCTAATGAAGCTGCGTGCTCCATTACAGGCTCATGCCTGTAATCCCAGCACTTTGGGAGGCCAAGGCGGGCAGATCACCTGAGGTCCGGAGTTTGAGACCAATCTGACCAACAAGGTGGTGAAACCCTGTTTCTACTAAAAATACAAAAATTTGCCAGGCGTGGTGGCAGGTGCCTGTAGTCCCAGCTGCTTGGGAGGCTGAGACAGGATAATTGCTCCAACCCTGGAGGCAGAGGTTGCAGTGAGCTGAGATCTCGCCACTCCACTGAGATCATACCACTGCACTCCAGCCTGGGCTACAAAGAGATACTCCATCTCAAAAAAAAAACCAAAAAACAAACAAACAAACAAAAAACAGCCAGACATGGTGGCAGGCGCTACTTGGGAGGCTGAGGCAGAAAAATCACTTGAACCCAGTAGACAGAAGTTCCAGTGAGCCGAGATCACTCCACTGCACTCCAGCCTGGGACACAGGGCATGGCTTTATCTTAAAAAAAAAATGAAAATAAAAATAAAAAAGAGTCTAATGAACTTTCTTTTACTGAAGCAGGCAGCACTGGGTAATTTACCACATTTCTGAATCGGATAACCGGATAGAGAACCAGATCTTAGACCAAAGCTGTCCAGTGGAACTTTCTGTGATGCTGGAAACATTCTGTATCTGTGCTAACATGGTATCCACTGGCCACATGTGGTTAAGATGACTGATGAACTACATTTTGTATTAAATTTTAATTATCTGAAAATTAAATAGCCTGTGTGGTTCGTTGCTGTGTGTGAAACACCACAGCCTCAGAGATAACAAACGCAGTGCTACCCCAAAGTAGCCCTCCCACTACGCTGCCTCCCCCTTCACTCCATTTGAGTACCTTTTACAAAATCTGGAAATCCATGGTGATAATCAAAACACTTAAAGCCCCCAGACCCTGCAAAAACCTTAAATACCATTAAAGTGTATTTGAAGAGATAGAGTGACCTACATAGATATAAATACATAAAGATAAATTTCAACTGAAAATGAAGGCTTTCACAAGAAAAATAATGAAAAGAGCTCTGAAGGCTACTTCCTTTCCTGGCCAGTCCTTGCAGTTTTGTTTTACTGAAATGCTGCCCACTCATGACACACACTGTGAATATTGTGCTGTTTAGATCCACACTGTTGGAGCAGCTGCTTACCAATTTTTGGTTCAAATAGTTTCATAGCACTGGGATATTTTCTGAAGACACGCAGATTTGTGGTTAGCTGGTGTCCAGGAAGGCGACTTGAGTAGACCCAATTTTAATAGGGTAAATATAAATTATATAATATTCCTGAATCATTTTACTGGCCTATATTTGTTATTACAATAAATAATAATTGCTAATTACCCTGATCTGATAATAAATATATTCAAAATATCACTATGTACCCCATGCAATATACAATTGTTAGGTGTCAATTAACTAAATACTATCACATTGGGGATTAAAGAAAAAAACAAAGTAGGAATCATTCATATTTTGAGAAATAGATTAATGAAAACTGTACAGATAACAACAGAAGAGTAACACTTTCTGAGCTCTGATTTTGTGGCAAACATTTTTTAAGGGATTATAATGGATTAAATCAATGAACCTCTCTCCTCCAAGATTTAGAGGTTATTAACACAGCCATTTCAGTTAATTTGCCTGGAGGTCTCCGACCCTCTTAAACCCTCATTTTTATAAGGAAAAATGTAGTTACAAACAGTTATTTTCCTCAAGTCCACATGTGTCATCATTCATCTGGTTCTAACAATACTCATTGTAAATTTGCTTAACTCACAGATTTAGTTTTCCTTTTCAGAATCAGTGTACAAATTATTTTGTTCTGATTTTAGCAATCAATTTAAGCGGATCTTTGATTAATGTTTGACCAACTGGAATTAAACAAACTAAATTCCTTTAAATAATTATCCTATTCCAAATTAAGTCTTCTTAAAAGGTTTATACTTTTCAGCATCTACTAATCTGGTTCCTTTTAAGTACTGAACCTTTCCTCATGACCTTTAGAATTCCCAGCCAAATAGATTAAATCTTAACCCTGGTGGAGCTCACATTGTTAAAACTTAGCAATTTAAATAGAAATCCATAGACTCACTCTTCAGAATTAAAGTGCAAACTACTTAGAGATCATAAATACTTTTAATATCAGATAAATCATTAAGAAATTGCGTTCTGTACTCGACGACCACACTGGAACCTTGCCGGAGTCAAGAGAACTTGTCACTAGTAATTATGAAGACACCTTTACGGTGAGCGTATTAAAACCCCTACCAGAGGTTTTCGATGGGACTCAAGAGCAAGGGGTAGCCACCTGTGGGCGAGGGTTCCTTGCTGTTAACAGAACACGTTGCCCACCAGGCGAGTATGCGACCCAATCAGTCTCCAGGGTCTCGGTTCCCGTTGCGCCCTTCCCCGTGGCCACTGCGCTCATTCATGAGCCTAGGGTGATCAGGACTCCGTCCTATAAAGAACTGCAGGCTCAGTGAGGCTCTTTTCTCGAGATGGTGGGTGGCTCTGAAAAGAGCCTTTATGTCCATCAAAGGGGCCCCGGGGGCAGCGGGCGGCCTCACTTGCCCTTGGCCTTGTGGTGGCTCTCCGTCTTCTTGGGCAGCAGCACGGCCTGGATGTTGGGCAGGACGCCGCCCTGCGCGATGGTCACGCGGCCCAGCAGCTTGTTGAGCTCCTCGTCGTTGCGGATGGCAAGCTGCAGGTGGCGCGGGATGATGCGCGTCTTCTTGTTGTCGCGCGCCGCGTTGCCGGCAAGCTCCAGAATCTCGGCGGTCAGGTACTCCAGCACCGCGGCCAGATAGACCGGGGCGCCGGCCCCCACGCGCTCGGAATAATTGCCCTTGCGGAGCAACCGGTGCACTCGGCCCACGGGGAACTGCAGCCCCGCGCGCGATGAGCGCGACTTGGCCTTGGCGCGCGCCTTGCCGCCCTGCTTACCGCGACCGGACATTTCCGATTCAGGGGCAAAAGACAACAAGAATCCAAAAGCGAGACCGAAAACAAGAGGGAAGAGAACTCCAGCGAGCCCTTATCTATGGTAAGGAGGTAGGCTAGACCGCGGAGTTCGATTGGATGGCTATGGTAGCCAATCAGAAAAAGAACCTGGCACTCCTAATTTGCCTATTTCTTTCCCAGCGATGACGTAGAACAACGTTTGATCCAATCAGAAGTGAGCAAATCCTGAGCCTTCATTTGAATACAAAACGTACAAATAGAGTTACTCCGAGCGCTGCGCGTTTTTTTGGAGAGACACAGCCATCATGCCAGACCCGTCCAAATCGGCTCCTGCGCCCAAGAAGGGTTCTAAAAAGGCCGTCACCAAGGCACAGAAGAAGGACGGCAAGAAGCGCAAACGCGGCCGCAAGGAGAGCTATTCTATCTACGTGTACAAGGTGCTGAAGCAGGTGCACCCCGACACCGGCATCTCGTCCAAGGCCATGGGCATCATGAACTCCTTCGTCAATGATATCTTCGAGCGCATCGCCAGCGAGGCCTCCCGCCTGGCGCACTACAACAAGCGCTCCACCATCACGTCCCGCGAAGTGCAGACGGCCGTGCGCCTGCTGCTGCCGGGCGAGCTGGCCAAGCACGCTGTGTCCGAGGGCACCAAGGCTGTCACCAAGTACACCAGCTCCAAGTGAGGCGTTTCCTGGCGTCCTGAACCCAAAGGCTCTTTTCAGAGCCACCCACACGATCGAGAAAGGGTTTCGAACACGGTGAAGGGTTACGTAACCTAATATGTCTCCATGCGCCCTAGCGGTTGCCGGGTGCGGCCGAATCTGAGCCTCCTCTGTGTGTGTGTGTGTGTGTGTGTGTGTGTGTGTGTGCGCGCGCGCCGGCAGAGAACGAGAAAAACTGCTCATTACAGAAATTGGGGTAGAAACAGTGCTCAGGTGATGTAGCTCAGTAATGTTGGGAGCCAATCAAGGACCCCCTCTCCACCCCCTCCCTCCGCGCGGACATATTAACACGCGACGAGACTTTTTGGTTTTTTTTTGAGACGGAGCCTGCTCTGTCGCTAGGCTGGAGTGCAGTGGCGTAATTTCGGCTCACTGCAACCTCCGCCTCCTGGGTTCAAGCGATTCTCGTGCCTCAGCCTTACGAGTAGCTGGGATTACAGGCATGGGCCACCACGCCTGGCTAAATTTTTGTATTTTTAGTAGAGACGGGGTTCCACCATGTTGGCCAGGATGGTCTCGATCTGCTGACCTGTTGATCCATCCGCCTCGGCCTTCCGAAGTGCGGGGGTTACAAGCGTGAGCCACCGCGCCCGACCCCAAATGTCTTTTATAAGCAAGTGGTGCATTCTTGGATGTTGAGCGCTTGCGCCCGGTTCAGGACCGGGTCCAACTGAGCTTGGCGTGCGCGGTGCACGTGAGCGGTGCGGGTCACCTCCCCCAGAAAGACCCTGTGCCAACCTCCCCATCCCTACCCGCACCCCATGGGTGAGGCCAGACGTGGCGCAAGACCACGGGCTCTGAGGCCATGGGCGTTGTCACGTTCCCCTGGCGGTGGTGCCTGGTTCTGCATTTGCTTAAGACTTCCATTCCTGCCTGGACCAGAGAGACATACTTAGATTTAAGTGATGAACATTCCGGGAGGATATTTTCCTGGCAAGATACTGCGATAGCAGGATGTTTGATACCGAATCGAAGCGCTGCGTCAAAGCAGCGCCCTGCTCTGGGGAGCCGGATGTAATAAGCGACCCCAGCTGCCGGTAGCTTTAACCCTTATGGGAGTGGGGGTGGGGGAAGGGTTAATTCAGGAGGGAAAGAATTCCCTTTTTCTGAGCAAATGTAGCTGCCTCCCTCTTCTACCACATTGTTTTCTGCGAGGCGTTAGCAACACAGAATTCCTTTCCTACCCCCTCCAAATTCACAGCATTTATTTGGGGACTGCCATTTTGGCGCAGGAAAGCTCTTTGGCACGAAGAGTTTTCGCTCTGGAAAGGGCATTGTTTACGTTTTCATGACTTGGCTTTTCTTGTTTGGAAAAAGGAGATTTCCAGTAATTGCTTCCCCAAACCATTGTGAAAATTCGAAGTATTGAGCGTTTTGTGTCACCGTTTCCAGCAGGGAGTAAAAATTCAATAAAGCTAAATGAGAATTTTTTTTTTTTTTTTTTTTTTTTGAGACGGAGTCTTGATCTGTCGCCCAGCCTGGAGTGCAATGGCGCGGTCTCTGCTCACTGAAGCCTCCGCCTCCCGGGTTCAAACGATTCCCTTGCTTCGGCCTACGGAGTGGCTGGGACTACAGGCGTGCGCCACCCACGCCCAGCTAATTTTTGTATTTTCAGTAGAGAAGGGGTTTCACCATGTTGACCAGGATGGTCTCGATCTCTTGACCTCGTGATCCACCCGCCTCGACCTCCCAAAGTGCTGGGATTACAGGCGTGAGCCACTTCTCCTGGCCGAGAAATAATTTTTTAATAAAATTAAATGAAAACTATTTTTTCCCCCCAAGTCATCTCTCCAAAGGGAAGGCGTCGTGTGCCTGGGATGCGGAAGGAAAGGTCAATGTGAACATCCTCGACCAAAACAGCTTTGTCCACTACTCCCCACCTTTTTTCCTGCGTGGTTCCTCTAAAGAATCTTTGAGAACCTTGCATAATTTAAAGCTATCTAAAATATTTTTATTTACAATTAAAATAGTTGCAAAGATACAAATATCAATATGGGACTTTTTAAAAATCAAAATTCTCACATCAGTCTTAAGGTGCCTTTTGGAATATCAATATGATAGTATAATTAATTCATAAAATACATGACCAAATTTTTCTTTGACAATGAGAAGTTTCAGATGATTTTTTTCTTCCTGAATGCCTATTTCTATTCTCCATTTGCCTTACAGTTTCACCCTACCATAACATATCTATTGTATGTTTAATGGTGTTTTGTCTATTATCGTTCTCTGCAAAAAAGTCTACACTGAAATTTAAACTACCTCTGGGTAGTCTCTCAGTATTTTAGAAAAATCATCTCGACAGTACACAATTGTTCAAAACATAAATAATTTGATAGATTATTATCAAACAGATAAACTTTTAGTGAAACTGACTCTTTTAATGAGCATCTACTCTTCTCCTCCCCTTTCCACCTCAGTGACTGCATGCATGCAGTGTTCATATGGTTACAGTGTTAGCAGAGCATGGGATCATTTCCATATGGTTACAATGCTAGCAGTGCACGGGCTCATTTCCATTCTGTTTTGTTTTGATATATGTTCCAAAAAAATTTAGAAAAAATGCACAGGAACAGCAACTTTGTCATAGGCATTTTATTCCATTCTTTGCATCCCCAGTTATAATCCAAATAATAAACAGTGATCCATCATCAAAAGTAAGTGGGACTTATCAACACCCTTAGTATTTTCAAGAAATATAGAATTTGTATGAAAAGCTATTGAATCCAGTCCTCTCCACTATGAAACAGGTGCCCAATGACTGGAACATCTAAGCCCTCAGCCTCCTGTCAGCATGGATTGGAAGTCAATACCTTAAACATTTGCAGCTGTGAAATTACTCTCACAGATCCATATAGTTCTCCACCTTAAGGAACTTAAAACATAGGTTTAATAAAGTGAAACCAGTCTCCAGCAGAGAGAGTGAATGATTGTGTTAGCACAAGGCAACAACGCTGGTTGGTGCCAGAGATCAAATCAAGGCAGAAGATGAACATTTCATGACCATTTCCAAGTGTAATTCTCTAAGAAGGCATTTTGTGATGGATAATGTAAAACGTCAGTCAATTCATATCTCAGTCCTTCTGATTCCCCTGACACAAACTTGAAGTAAAAACAGGCTGTCTGTCTCTTCCTGCTGCGTTAGCACCCCCAGGCCCAGAATGCATGGGATTTGTACCTCTCTCCCAGGACAGGAATCTGTTAAGGGAGAGGCAAAGAAGGTAAAACAGGATCCCTGCTACTGAGATTTTATAATGGAGAAAATTCAGAGCAATTGTGTCCAGAACCCATTTCTATAATTATAGTGTTACAACGGAGAAAGACAAATGTTAATGATAAACGGAGTGCACATCAAATATGTCAGAATCCACGGGAATTAGGACCCACTCAACAAAATGGAAGCATTTTCTGGGTTGGAGAGACATGCCAAGATTCTCAAACTAAGCCAGATTTTTAAACTAAGGTTCATATCTCACCTATCTGAGATGAGTGAGTGACAATCACTGAAATACGTGTCAGATTGTATGCCTACAAAATCCCTCCAGACTGGCATACAATCTGAAATGTATTTAAGAGATTGCCCCTCACCCATATCAGATGGAAATTTCAAGTCAGATTGGCTAAGCATTATGCAGTAAATAAAATAATTTGGATGGAATCATCTCCAATTAAAGCGACTTTGATTAAAAAAACAAAAAATAACATGTTGGTGAGAACGCGGGGAAAGGGAATGCTTGTACACTGCTGATAAGAATGTAAATCAGTACAGCCACTATAGAGACGAGTATGGGCATTCTTAAATAAACTGAAAACAGACTTACCATATGATCCAGCAACCCCACTGCTGGGTATATATCCAAAATAAAGGAAATTGGTATATCAAAGAGATGTCTGCAGTCTCATGTTAATTGCAGCACTATTTATAATAGCCAAGAAAGAGAGTTAACCTTAATGCCCATCAGTAGATAAATGGATAAAGAATATGTGGTATATTTACACATTCAAATACAATTTGGCCATAAAAAAATAATGAAATCCCATCATTAGCAGCACCATGGATGGAACTGGAGGACATTATATTAAGTGAAACAAATCAGGCACAGAAAGACAAATACTGCATGATCTCACTCATACGTGGGAGCTAAGAACATGGGTCTCACGGAGGTAGAAAGTTGATTACTGGTTACCAGAAGCTGGGAAGAGTGGTGGGGAAAGGAGGAGATGAAGCCAATCAATGGGTACAAAAATACACTTAGGAGAAATAGTAACATCTAGTGTTGGTTAGAAAAGTAGGGTGACTGCAGGTAACAATAATTAGTTGTATTGCTGGAGGAGAGGAATTGGAATGATCTCGACCTGAAGAGGGGGTGAATATGATGACGGATGTCCCAGTTGCCCTGGTTTGATTGTTATGCCTATGCGTATATCAAAATATCGTATGTATCCCCCAAATATGTACAATTATTATGTACTACTAATAAAAAAGCTTATTGCTCTGAAAAAGTGCTCTAAAAAATAAAGCCTAGGACGGGCGCGGTGGCTCACACCTGTAATCCCATCACTTCGGGAGGCCGAGGCAAGTGGATCACGAGGTCAGGAGATCCAGATCATCCTGGCTAACACGGTGAAACCCCGTCTCTACTAAAAATACAAAAAAATTAGCCGGGCGTGGTGGCGGGTGCCTGTAGTCCCAGCTAATCGGGAGGCTGAGGCAGGAGAATGGCCTGAACCCAGGAGGCAGAGCTTTTAGTGAGCCGAGAGTGCCACTGCACTCCAGCCTGGGCAACAGAGCGAGACTCCGTCTCAAAAAATAAAAAAAAATAAAAATAAAATAAAAAAATAAAACCTATTTACAAAAAGAATTTGGAGGAAAGAAAGCTCCCTTTAAGAAAAAACTAACCGAAGAAAATTGATATACTTTATGAGACCATAGAGGTTAAATGTTGATAAATGCTTGGCTGTCATTGTGTTGGGGGTGTGCAGTGGGAACTAAGCCTAGAATCTGAATCCTAATTCCAGGCAATGTTTCTGCTTAGAGGGTGGTTGGGGTGACACAGGTACGGGGTATTTTTAGGGAGAGGACAGCCTGGGCCCCAGTCAGGCCTGCATGCCTTAGTTTTTACTTAATGTGTCATCCAACGATCATACTTATTTTGCCTATGATTTGCTGGAATTTTTTTAAAAAGCACTATATTTGCATTATTCAAAATAATCTTTCACTGTGCATTTTGCGTACACACACATACACACACATTTTTGGGATAAAATACCAGAATCCCTTAATTGGGGAAATTTTAACTAAGTGGTAAGGAGATATGTGAGCCTGCTGTTTTGATGTTTCAAGCAGGAAGGCGTGGCATAAAGAGCTGCTTAGGCGCAACGCCGCTGAAAAGGTTTTGGCTAGAAGCTCACGGTGTCTAGTTGTGGCTAAGGAGGGAGGAAAGGGGCGGGAGAAGGACGGACCCAAGCACCCGCACCTAGATGGCGCGACAACCCCCTCACCCCCAACCCCGGACCTCAGTGAGCACGTCCTCCAGTCTCAGCCACCAGGAGGCACTGGGGGAGGGGAAGTGGCACAAGATCTTCCTGGAGGTGACCCACGCTCCTCACGCGCAGGGCGTGCGCCACACACAGATCTTTGGATAGGATCCATGGTTCAATCTCCTGTACTGCGCCCTCTCTGACTTTGCCTGTGGCCAAGAGAAGACGAACGCAGCCTTTCTAAGGGAAATGCGCCATTACAGACGGGAAGCCTAGTTTTATCTCTAAGACTTGCGCCTCCACAACTCACTCTACCTTCCCCCGTTACTCCAGTTAAATCACAGGTCACAACCAGACCAGGTGGCACGCTCCTTTTTGAGCTTGAAGGTGGCTCTGAAAAGAGCCTTTGGGTTCGGGGCGCCGGGAAACGCCTCACTTGGAGCTGGTGTACTTGGTGACAGCCTTGGTGCCCTCGGACACAGCGTGCTTGGCCAGCTCGCCCGGCAGCAGCAGGCGCACGGCCGTCTGCACTTCGCGGGACGTGATGGTGGAGCGCTTGTTGTAGTGCGCCAGGCGGGAGGCCTCGCTGGCGATGCGCTCGAAGATATCATTGACGAAGGAGTTCATGATGCCCATGGCCTTGGACGAGATACCGGTGTCGGGGTGCACCTGCTTCAGCACCTTGTACACGTAGATAGAATAGCTCTCCTTGCGGCCGCGTTTGCGCTTCTTGCCGTCCTTCTTCTGCGCCTTGGTGATGGCCTTCTTGGAGCCCTTTTTAGGAGCCGGAGCCGCCCGCGATGGCTCCGGCATGGCGGGGTGACAAGAGCTCCTAGACGAACGCGGACGCGAGGCGGGCAGGGCTATTTGCCATCTTTATATTCAAATGAAGGCTCCAAATCTGTAGGGTCTGATTGGACGGCCTGACGCCGAGGCCGCCACCGGGAGGAATTTATGCAAAGAGGAGAGTCCGGTTCTTCTTTCCTATTGGACGGTGGTCCAACCAATCCCAAGGCATATCCGCCGCGCACAGGAGCTGAGGTTGCGCATCTTTGTTCAAAGCCTTTGTTTTAAACCTGGAGATTTTTGTGTCCGCAGCGGATCTGGACGTAGCTAAAAAGAAACTGAAAAACGGTTTCAACCCCAAATTGCAGTCTTCTCTGGCTGTGAGGCACATACATGGGGGCATTTTTTTTTCCTGAGGCACACAGCTAAGGAGTGGTAGTTAGTGCTTATTTAGAAGGGGAGGTGGGGGTAGGAATGGCAGTTTGCAACGACCTTAACCCTTCATATCTTGCCCTTCCCTCCATTCCTCCAAAGATCAAAGGGATGCATTCCTCTCAGAATTCAATTGTAAATCCAAACGGTTCGTTAGGAAATACAGAAAATAGTACAGAAAACATACAAACGTACTTAAATTAGAATTGTAGTCATGAGGCAGAGTTTTAACTGGAGAAAGAAATTGAATGGTTTTCAAATGAAACCTAATCCTTTCTACTGTTTTTAAAATCCCCCCAGAGGCCGGGCGCGGTGGCTCAAGCCTGTAATCCCAGCACTTTGGGAGGCCGAGATGGGCGGATCACGAGGTCAGGAGATCGAGACCATCCTAGCTAACACGGTGAAACCCCGTCTCTACTAAAAATACAAAAAACTAGCCGGGCGAGGTGGCAGGCGCCTGTAATCCCAGCTACTCGGGAGGCTGAGGCAGGAGAATGGCATGAACCCGGGAGGCAGAGCTTGCAGTGAGCTGAGATCCGGCCACTGTACTCCAGCCTGGGCGGCAGAGCAAGACTCCGTCTCAAAAAAAAAAAATAAAAATAAAAATAAAAAAAAATAAAATCCCCCCAAACCCCTTTGAAGTGACAGCCATAATGCAAAGGGCTTGCTATGGGCGATCTCATTTGTTTCCCAGTGTCCCCGAGAGGTGGGTACTGTGATTGCTTGCGATTACCCGTCAGAGGGCAGGCTTATGGAAGGCACTGTCTCCGAGCTGCGCCCCTCTCCCCGCCACTATATTAACTCCCAATGAAGAAACGTAAGGTGTTGTGTATTTCAGCTTCAACGGAAGAGCTGGTTAAAAAAGCAGAATCTCGGGCCCACTCCAATCTGATTGAGTCAGAATTTGCATTTTAAAAAGACTTGTGCGCACTTTACAATTTGAGAAGCCCTAGTCCAGAGGTCGTTTATCTGCCCTAGCTGGGGCAGATAATTTACCTCTGCATACCTCCATACACTCATCTGTGAAATGAGGCTGCCAGTGCCCACCTGATAGCGTTGCTGAGCATTAATGAGTGTGAAGCAGTGGGCAGAGTGCCCAGCATCTGTTTTGTGCTTAATTCCTGTTAGCGCCTTTCCTTCTTAGGACTGATCCAGCCATAAGCAGCTTGGGCTACCTCAGCAGAGCGTGCTCTATGCCCGGGGCAGATCCATCACATAAATATGTAGCACGAACCTTTCTCTCTCACCAGCATGCTGACTGAGCTTAATTCACAGGGAAGGGTGTGGCTTTCATGTCTGAGTCTCCAGAGCACAGAGTGTGGCACCCAGCAGGGGCCCAGTCAGTATTTGCTTGTGAATAAGCCTGTGAGCTGAGGCAGTGCCTTCTACATTCAAGTCTGTCCTCTGAGGTCTTCTGGGCATCTTGAGACTGTGGGTTCCCTGAGTGGCTTTGGGCATACCCAGCATTAAGCACTTTATCTGTTTCCTTTTGAAGTATGTGGTTGATTTAACAAGCATTTCTAGAGTGCTCACTGAGAGCTGGCTAGGTAACCATTTAATAAATACTTGATTCAATTTAGTTCTCAAACAACCCTTCGACTAAGATTCTCTGCTTGACCAAACTCTGGTCAGGCTCCAGAACCTCCTTCTGGGTCCATCTGTGCACTTTCTTGTGAAATCCAGTTTTAGGAAGAGCCCCGCTAAGTCAGTTTAATCAGAACCCCTGATTCTGAATATCTGATCACCCTCTGTGCTATCTGATGGGGTACCTCATCCTCCATCCCCAGGTGATGTCTGATCACTCTGCCTGCCTCCAGCAAGAGCCCTGTGAAGTTGGTTTACCCAGAATCCCCCTCACCCCTGATGTCTTCTTCTTCTTCTTTTTTTTGAGATGCAATCTTGCTCTGTCACCCAGTAGCACAATCTCAATTCACTGCAACGTCCGCCTACCGGGTTCAAGTGATTTTCCTGCCTCAGCCTCCTGAGTAGCTGGGATTACTGGCATGCATGACCATGCCAGGCTAATTTTTGTATTTTTAGTGGAGACAGGGTTTCGTCATAAAACTGCTGCCCTCGAGTTATCCACCCTCCTCAGCCTCCCAAAGTGTTGGGATTACAGGCATAAGCCACTGTGCCCGGCCCGGCCCTGATGTCTCCTCTTAATACTGTTCTATCCACTGATCTACCCTACTCCTGTCTATACATTTCCACTTGTCAGTGCAGTACTCAGAGTTGAGCCCAGTTTCTCTACCCTGCTGCAGAATCCCACTGCAATGGTCCTAATCCTACTCCATCATCCTGAATGAAATCTTCCTCACCATGCTTTAACAAGTGTTAATATATATACATATATAGCACTGCTTGCCTTGGTCCTGCCAGCCCAGTGAGAAGCTGGTCTTCCCACCAGGTTCTTACTAAGGCTTCCTGGCTTCCTACTGGTATGGGAAGGTTTGAAACAAAACTTGGAGTGGGACAGGAGGTGGGCATTCTAAGGACTTTGGGTAAGAATATGTCTTTCAGGTGCTAAGATTTAGGATTTTCTCTGCCCACCATCTGGCGGCTGCTTGGTGGTGTCAGGAAATCTGTCCTGGTTCTCATGGGTGATTGCTAGGGACTCAAAGTCTGTGTTCCCTCCAAATTTCTAGGTTGAAAACCCCCATCCTCAGGGTGATGGTGTTAGAAGGTGGAGCCTTTGGGGGATGATTAGGTCATGAGGGTGGAGTAGCATGGTAGGATTCCTGCCCTTATAAGAAGAGACACAAGACAGCTGGCTTTTCTCTTTCTCTCTGCTGCAGGGCCCAAGGGAAAATCTTTCCCATTACCCTCTGAAGGTTCACTAAAAATCAGCTGACAAAAGGCAGATTAAAAGATAAAAGGCATACACATTTATTTGATCATAGTTTTGTGTGACACAAAATCCCTCAGAATGAATACAGAAGAAGCTGTCTATTTTAATGCTTAGGTTCAACAAAATTTGGACTGCTATGTAGAAATAGGATCGGGCATGATCTACTGCTAATACACTGAGTGAGGATATCCAGCAAGGCCTGTCTGTCTAGATTCTTCTTGGCCTCTCTGCATGGCATTCGTTCCTCTCGGGTATGAGATAGGGCCCTCTGTGAAATGGGAGTCTTATGAGCTACAACCAAACAAAGTGGCCCAGAGAATTTATGGTCAGCATTTGCACAGAAAGGCAGGAGTTAGAGTAATATTTTTAGGATTTGTGTCTGGCTTTGGGAAAAAGGGGTTGTGGTTTTTATGACCTGCCTTGGGGAAGAGGGATTCGAGTTTCTATGGCCAGTCTGGGGGAGAATGGGACTGAGATAGGAAGGCAGGAGATCAGAGAAAGTTTTTTGCTTCTGAGGTCTTCATTTTAGGATATCGCTTTCTAGTACCATGTGAGGACACAGTGAGAAGGTGACTAGGTGCAAACCAGTAAGAGTGACCCCACAAAACCCAACCCTGCTGACACCCTGATCTCAGACTTCTAGCCTTGGATAATCAGCACTCTTTGGGGGAAAATAATGACACAAAATGTATGTATTGTGTAATTGTAATGTGCAATTTGTATTAAATGTCTTTTTTATTTTTATTTTTATTTTTTAGGTGACAGGGTCTTGCTCTGTTGCCCAGGCTGGAGTGCAGTGGTGGGATTCATAGCTCACTGCAGCCTCAAACTCCTGGGTTCAAGCAATCCTCCTATCTCAGCCTCCCGAGTAGCTGGGACTATAGGTGCATGCCACCATGCCTGGCTAATTTTTTTTTTTTTTTTTTTTTGGTAGAGACAGGGTCTTTCTATGTTTCCCACACGGGTCTCTTTTCTCCCAAAGACTTTGATGAATTTCTGTTGTTTAAGTCTCCCCTTCTGTAGCATTTTGTTAGAACAGCCTGAGCCAACTGAGACAGTGTCTTGGATCAAGACCAACATGATGTATTGGCAGATGGACACTATGGAGTAAACTTGAAGCTTTCCTCATGTGAAGAAAAGAAGGAAAAAAGAAGAGAGGGAAGGAAGGAAAAGAAAGAAAGAAGGAAAGAAAGAAAGAAGAGGGAGAGTTGGGGAGACAGAGGGAGGGAAGGACAGGGAAAGAGAAAGAAAAAAGAAAAAGAAACAGTGGCCTCTAGCTTAGTGACTGGGTTTAGGTGATTAAGAAAAATAATAAACACCTTACCGCTGCCCCTCGCACTTCTTTAATGGTTCTAGAGTACAGTACCTGGGCTGGAAGCCAGTCTAGAAATGTGTTGAATGAGTAACTGAATGCATGAAATCAGCCCATCTTTACACGTTAGATTTTTGTGCAGCTCTAGATGATGTATCCTTCTCTACTAGGATAAGGGGTTCCTGCAGTGAGCGTTTTCCCCACCAGTCAAGAAGCCAGTTCCCTTTAAGTCTCACAAACAAGCATTTAACACAGGCAGGGCATGTTTGCTGAGGCCTGTAATCCCAGCACTTTGAGAGACCCAAGCAGGTGGATCCCTTGAGTCCAGGAGTTTAAGACCAGCCTGGGAAACACAGTGAGACCCCGTCTCTCTTTTTTTAAAGCATTTAATAAAATTGCACGTTGCAATGGTAAATGTACATGCTCCATCCAGAC